CAGAGCTCCTGCTGCTGCCGCTTCTGCTGTCCCCACTGGCATGGGGACAGGACCCATGGGCAGGCAGAGCTGGTGCTGCTGCCCCCGCTGGCATGGGGACAGGACCCATAGGCAGGCAGAGCTCCTGCTGCTGCCCTGAGTTGAGGGTTAGGGCTAATTTTATAAGGCATGGGTACGTGTCTTATTTTTACTGGAAAAAAAGAAAAGATGATGTAAAAAGTCATTAAATGATTTCAGTGCAGGTGGAGTCTGGTTATTGTGCGGTCATATAACTTTAGATATGAATCTGGCCATATAGATGGGCATGTAGGTGAGGATGCCCCGGGCTTCTCTCCCTGGGGCAGTCCTAATTCATACCATAAAAAAAGTCCACTGGGTCATATAGTTTGGCATGTAGGCCAGGTCACCTTGGGCTTCTCTAGCTGGGGCAGCCTTAATCCACATCAATGTTACTACTTGCTTCCCAATCATATTCCGTTCATATATTTTTGTTGCTGTAATTTACTGTCACGCAGTGTTTACAGTGTTGAAAAGAAGGAGTTGGAGTGGACATCCTTGGCTTATTCTTTGTCTTAGGGGGAATGCTTTCTGTATTTCATAATTAAGTGTGATATTAGCTATAGGTTTTTTACTAGATGCCCTTTATCAGTTTGAGGAAGTTTCCTTCTTACTAGTTGCTGAGACATTTTATCGTGAATGGAGGTTAGACATTTTCAAATAATTTTTCTACATCTATTGAAATAATTTTAAACTTGCCATGTGTAAGTGAAACAACTTACTTTTACATAAAGTAAAACTAGAGAGACAAATTAACAAATTTGCCACCATTGTAGGAGATTCCAAAATAATTCTCAGTCATTGATAACATCAAGCAAACAAAAGTTTAGGGAAGATAAAAAAAGAACCAAATCACACAATTAACAAGTTTAATCTCATGGTCAAATAAAGAACTCTGCATCTAATAATTAATGGATTCATATTCCTCTGTTATCCATGAAACATTTGTAAGAATTATTAATATACTATTCAATAATTCATGTTTTGACAAATTTCAAAGAATTGACAAATATAGGCTGTTTTCTTCAACTACAGTGTTACTATGTCAGTTTTTTTAAAAAAAATAAATTATACCCATAGATTTGAAAATTTTCAAAAATAGACCCTTCTACTCTAATGAACATTTTTTTCAAGATCTATTCTCTCTGCAGTTGTCATGCATCATTCTGTCACTGGTGTCTTAGATTTAATGAAGTATGGTAAGTATTTTATAGACTCAAGAAGAAAATACCTAGACCTGAACTTTAATGAATATACTACATATAAATATTTGAGTAATGCAAAGAAGTAGTCAGAGGGGGAATGCTTATGTTAGTAAAGATTAAAAGGCTGAAAATTATGATGTACTCATCCAATTTAAGAGTTTAGGAAAAGAATAGTGAAATAAATTTGAAGTACAAGCATAAAAATAAGAGCAGAAATCAGTAAAGTAAGAAACAAATTGCTAGTTGTTGGGATTATGGAACCCAAAAATTAATCCTTTGAAATGAATCACAAAATAAACTTTTTGTGAAATTTATTGGCAGAATAAAAAGAAGGTACAGAATTCAAATGGAGCTGTAATAGAGACATCAGAAAATAAATAGATAAGGTAAATTTATGAACATTGTAGCTAATGCTTTGCAAACTTAGACAAAGTGACCAAATTCCTATGAAAAATATGACTTATTACACTTTGAATCAAGAAGTCATTCTACATCTACTGAAAAATGGATTCGTAATTTAAAATAGTCTCACAAAGGAAACATCAAACCATGATAGTTTTATTGATGGGTTCTCTCAAAATTTCAAAGAACAGATTTTTTTAACAATCCTACATGAATTCTTCCAGGGAATAAAAAAGGACAAATTCTCAGTCTTTTATTGAGCCAGTATAACCTTTAACCTCAACTAAAAGGTTGGTACAAGAAAGGAAACAACAGGCGAGATTCACTTGTAGATGAAAATGCAAAAATCCTCACTGAATTTAAAAGAGACCTTCCTCAACCTGATAAAATGTAAGTTCAGCAGATACCATTTTTAATGGGGAAATATTAGAAAAATTCTATTTAAAATCAGACCTTAAAAAGGAATGAAAGTTTCTCTGCTTCTTTCCTGCATTGTGCTTATCAGCATAGAAAGACAAGAAAAAGAAAGGAAAAAAGCGTTAAGATTGGGAAGAAAGATTGTCTACATAGAAAAATCCAGTTAAACCACAATCAGTTTATTAGAAGTAAAAAAAGAGAGAGACTGTAACAAGGTGGTTGGTTAACATTATTTTACAATAAAATTGTATCTCTGTATATGAACAATTAGTTTAGAAAACATAATTTTAACAATATTTCGTATAGCAATGGAAATTATAAGATATAAAGGATAAATCCAACAAATGTGGAAAATTTGAGTGGCCAAAGTTAAAAATTTCATGGAAATTTAAATGAGGAGAACGTCATATTTCATGGCTAGTAAAACAGTGCTATAATACATGCCAATTCTCCCTAAATTGATTCACCACAGTTCAAATCAAAATCCCAGTAAGATGTTTTTGTGCAATTTGATAACCTGAATCTAAAATTTATATGGAAGAGCAAAGGGGAATGATTCAAGATATGATGGATTTGCTTTTCAATATAAAACATTATGATAACAAAGATAGCGAGTTATTGGTTTATGGATAGGTAGGCTGTATTGGGAAAAATAAATAGAGCACCAAACAGATCCTGGTGGATAGGATACATTTATTTATGACATCACAGATCATTGAGGGGAAGGTGGAAATATTAAATAAACAATGCTGAGATATGTGTTGGAAAAAGTGAAGTTGTATCCATATGTCATACCATATATAAACTCAATTCAAGATGGATGAGGATTTAAATGCTAAAAGCAAAATTTTTAAATTTTCAGAAGAAAATATAAGAGACTATATCTCTCAGCTCATAAGCTCAGGAAAGATTTCTTAAACAGCACACTAAAGCACTACTTTGAAAAGAGTAGATTGATACATTCAATGATGAAACTTAAATACTTGAATTCATCAGAATGTAAAAACACAAGATCCAATTAGAAAATAATTGCAACATATTTAATCTCTGTAGAATTAATAGCAAAATAGATCAAGACTTTCATCAGGAAAATAATCAATAAGATTTGGAAAGAAGCAACATTAACAAACCACGTATACCTGCTACCTCCAACCCCAAGCACACACTCACACAAGACCACTCACAGAGGCTGATAAAATGAACTTCGTTTCTTGCTGGGGTCATTCTTATCTTACACCAGAAAGAGATCTGATTCTTGACCAATACCAAAATCATATAATCTTTATGCTCTGTGGTGTACCTGGCACATTACACTAATCATTACCCCGTCCTTGAGCATTTACAAGGTGAAACCGTGCTACAAGCTGGGTAGCAATTCTTAGCTATCTCCTTAATAGCTTCGTCTGTGTTATTCATCTTCTCTTCCAAGTACATTTGGAATGTATGTCCTAATTCTAGAAATCCTTTTGCGCCCAGTATGTTGGGATTTTGTCAGATAATTGTAGTTGCCACATCAATTGGGGCTATAAGAGCTTCAAATTTGATTGAGTCTAAAGTTTTATAACCAAAGGATTTGGAAGGAAAATAGGTGAGTTCCTTCAGTGGGACCACGTGGTAAAAACAGATAGGCGTCTTCTACCCAACCGTTAAAAGGAGAAAAACAAGAAATGCAGTTCCTGGCAGTAAAGACTCCCTCTCCCAAGAGGGCAGGCATTAAAACAGACAAACAAACAAAGAAAAACATGTATACGGTATGTCTAAGAGGAAGCTGCCAATGTTGGAGAGCAGTCTTAGAACGTTTAACTATTGCTGCTTTAGACAGCTTTCACAACATGAGCGCTCAGTGTTTTATAAACCTAACAGGAAAGCATTTATTTTTTGATAACTGAACTTAGTCTATTTAATGAATAATGTGTAGTGTAAGTAGACAGTTTTGAAATAGCAACACTTCATTTATCATTAAGTGTTTTCTGATGCCAAGGAAGGGGAAAATGATTTAATAAAAGATTCTGTTGTGTAGGGTGTGCCTAGTACTGAGACATATGTAGGAGAAAAGATATATTAAAAAACAAATTATAATGTGTTTATTTATATATGTGATATATTTCATAATTAAGTGTCTTCACACTTTAGCCATCAAAGCTCTGCTTAATTCAATTTGATGCTATTTTTCCCATAGCATGGTTAACATTTTAAAATTTTGTTGTAGATTTGTTTTGTAATGAAAACACACACACAGAGCTCTTTAATGGTAATAATTATTACTGCTCTGTTTTAGGCTATTTCTTAGAAAACATAACACAGTTCATCATTTAGATATATGAGTCAGTTTGTGGGTCATTTATTTCTCATTTTCGTGTCAAAGCAATAAAGAAACAGGTAAACTAATAGTAAGTAGAAGGACGTTTAAGATGTATTAAATTATGCTTCCTCTCATGAGTGTGATGAAAAAAGAATTGGGTATATTTAATTTATTAGTCATGCCTATTAGAAAAAGACACATGAATGCTTTTGAAAATAACATATTGTTTGTGTTTGGAAATTTATCTACACTTAAGTGCCTTTGTCTGAAAGCATCCAAAACTGACTTGGCTTTGCTATTTTTGATTAGCTTTTTTTGTCCAATAGGTTTTATTAGTCAGCATCAAATCACTTACATATATTATTTAACATTTAATATTATTTTAAGCTTTAAGCCATTTAGGAACTTTATCTTATGCATTTGGAGGATAATATCCTCACATCATGAAATATGTGTGAAAATAAATGTTTGTGAGCTCATAATGACTTCCTTTCTCTCTCTATTTTTTAATTCTCAAGTGTTTCATTCAAAATCCTTTTATTTGTTTTTCAGGTTGATCAGGGTTTTTTTTCCCTAATAATTGGCAATTTTAATTATTGCTATTGTTTGCTTCATAGGGTCAAAGAGAATAAGTGATAGTGAAGTCTCTGACTATGACTGTGATGATGGCATTGGTGTGGTATCAGGTAAGAATTTCAGAATTATTGTATAGTAATACGAAAGAAGTGTAATTCATCATTATTTACCAATAAATAGATAGATAAGTAAAGAAATAAATAAAATGAGAGAAATAACTTGCCTCCTTATACCCCTGAAAACAACTTTATAGCAATTTAAACTCTTGAATAATTCCAATTGCTGAAACATCTGTACCAATTGTTAGATGGAATATCCTTACTGGAAGATGTCAGAAGAAGTGAATACTTATAAATTTTCTGTTTTTAAACTACTAAATAATAAGAATTTCTCTGTAAATTTAAAGGGTTATTGTATAATTGAAACTTCTTTATATACTGCAATAACAATGTGAAGAAAATAAAATCTTTTTGACATCACCAATATACCAAATATGTCAAATATTTGAAGGAGATTTTTGAAATTTTTTCATTGTTGTTATGTTAAGTATCAGGTACAGCTACATTTTGAAATTATGGTACTGTAGTTGAAAATATTGCCTAATTTATGGTTTGAAATTTATCTGATGATTTAATATTGTAGATAAGTAGCTATTTTTTTAATAAATTCTGGGAAAATGTTTATATTTATATATACATTATACTATAATATTATAGAAATGTTTGATTCCCTTCTTCTTGAACAAATTTCATAAACAAAATATGTTCTATTGTATGTAAGACATGCTGCAGTTGTATCAATGACTGTTTTTCTGACTGATAATTTTTGTTTGACAATTTTCGTTAGAGTATGGGTCAGTTAGCATGCTATTAGTGACGTACTTTTTAAAATCTCAATATCTATTAGCCTTTATTTTTCACACTAAAGGTGAACAATATATTAATTATCTAAGACTGCAAAAATATTTTCCATGTTTTATGATTTGTGAATTAAACCTCAATAAATTTGTCGTGAAAAATATTTCCTATGGTCTCTAATCTGGAGATCATTACCGTTTCTTTCTATTTGTATTCTACTCCTTTGATAAGTGATTTTTCTACTTCTTCTCTTTACTAGATATATAGCTAGATCAGGTTTTCTTCATCCAAAATATTTTCCTTCAGGTCATTAAAGCTCTTTATGTTGATGCCATTTTTGGCACATCTCAATTCTATTTTCTATTTTCAGGATGGTAAAACTATGATCATTTTATTATTTTTCCATTCTGTTAAAGGAATTGTATCTTTTGAAAGAAACTTTATAAGAATCTTTCATTATTTGGGATAACACTCTCTGTAGTAAATTTTTTGCTATTACAGAATAGTATTTAGAAAACCTACAAAATTCAAAGTATTTACTCTGGGTTCGTTATTTTTCAACATCGTGGAAAATCATCTTTTCTTGTTTCAACATTTTTTTTTAACCTGTGTACAGACTATATAGTGATTTATTTAATAATTCATTGAGGAGAAAAGATTGGTGTGTAAAATCATTTATTTTGCTGTTTTGAAATCCAATATGATTTTGTGAGATAGTTTTTTCATCATAAACTGGACTTTAGTAATGCATTTAAAAGGTAATATTTCAGAAACTAGAATACTATAATCCTGCCTTTGATCTTCATAAAAAGAATATGGCAATAACTTCAAATCCTTGGATTCTGTCACTATTAGAAATTTGAAGTCATTGCCACATTCTTTTTATGAACATCGGAATTAAGATTATGGTATTGTAGTTTCTAACATATTTTCTTTTCATAGGCCCATAACTTTAGAAAATGATGTACCAATTACATTTACATAAGTATCATGATAACTAAGACTTAAACATACGTTAATTTTGTTAAATATTTTTCTTATATTTTCTTTTCTTTATGTCCATTTTGTCTAAAGCTCCATCATTAAAACCAGTTGAAATGGAGAATAAATGCTTCAATCACTAGTTTATCAAATAATTTGACTACTAGATCAAGCAAACATCCTATATTCTCTGTGAAATTGTTCTTAAGGCATTTCAAATGGGAATTGAATATATACGTATACACAGTACCTTCCTGCCCTCCTCCCCCTTGTTAACTGGCATTTTAAACAAATAGTATAAGTCAGTACAACAGCAAATCTGTTAATACTTTGTTACCCATTTGCAGAGATTTGTTTCCAATTGCAGATTGCATATCTGTCAAATTTAGAGTATCAGTTACAAGCATTCATAACCCTTTTCAAAACCTAAGATAGCAACTTTTTCTTAATAATTAACAGTTTTGGCCACTTTATTCAGTTTTTCCAAGTTTGCAAGGCTGATTATGCCAGAGGTAATATTTTCCATGTGCTCTTTATTTTGTTTGTTCTGATGAACTCAAGTCAGAGGTAATTTTGAAATTTTCATTGCTAATATTATTCTTCAAAGTAAATTGAAATTTTGATTGATAATTTAGGCTTCTCAGGGAAGCAGTACCAGACATGGGTTTTGCCTCCCATGGTATACTGAGTCAGGAAAATGGGAATGGTTATAAACCAACTATTCTTTGAACCAGTTGACTCACCCTACAATGTGAATAAATGGAATATATATATGTGACTTAATCATAGCCACATAAAATTTTAGTATTATTTCCCACTCTGACCTGAAACAATATACAAACAAATGTAAATAATTTTCCATTGGGAAGCTAGAGAGATGTTTTGATAATTAGCTCTTAAAAGTCACCTATAATCTTCTAATTTCCTAAGTCAATTATCTATCCCCAGTACTCATTTTTTATCACTTCTGAGTAACACTTTGCATTATCAATCATGAATATTTTCTTAAGAATCTACATTTCTTTTGAATCTCCATGTGATTTCGTTATTGGGATTTTCTTCGTGTAGTGACTCTTCCCCTTTTTCTCAATAGTCTCCCTTAAACTCAGTAGTCAGATCTCTTTTTGTCTCTCTCTATTCTTACCTTGGATTTCAATAATGTTCTTTTTATAAATGACTCTCAAATCTTTATCAACAGTTCTAATGCTGTTCCTAAGACTCTTTTCCACATATGTAACTGTTTGCCTACATGCCTGAAAATATGTTATCTTCCCCTCTCCAAGCAGGTACACCTTGCTAAACTTCTCTTACTCTTTGTAGTATACTCTTAACTTCCTAATGGGCTAATCAAAAGTTAAGGCTCCTTTATTCCTTCCCCTTTTTTGCTCTTGTATCTAATTACAAAATGTTATTGATTCACATTAGAGTGCCCCTAGACGCCATCCTTGGACTTTTTCTCTATCTACACTCACTGCTCTAGTGAGCTCATCTATTTATAGTTCCGTGCTTTTAAATAGCCTGTATACGCTAAAACTCCCAAATGGCCAGTCAAGACCACTTATTTGTACTCTAAATTTTTATTTTCTACTGCCCACTTGACATCTACACTGGGAAATGTAGTAGAAATCATCAACTTAACATATCTAAAACTGAACGCCTGAACTTTCCCACCAAACCATGTCTTTTGACAGCAACTTTATTGTTTAATATACTTGAGTTAAAATTTTGGATTTGTTCTTGTCCCTTTTTTTATGTCTAATATAAAATCTTTCACACAATCTTTCTGATAGCTCTACCTTCAAAATATATTCATATCTCACTACTTCCCACAATCACCATTGCTATCATCCTAGTTAAAACCACTTTTGTTTCTTGCCTGACTTTATTGCCCAGTCTCCTTTTAGTCTATTCTCAGCATAGTAACTGAAGTGAGGCAGTTTAAGGAAAAGATAGATTATGTCCAATATCTGCTCGAAATCCTCCAATGGGAGCGAGCCCTGATGGCCTAGTGGTTGAAGTTTAGTGCTCACCGCTTTGGTGGGCTGGGTGACTAGCTTCTCTGTCATGGAACCACACCACCCATCTGTCAGTTGCCATGCTGTGGCAGTGGCTCACATAGAAGAACTAGAATGACTTACAACTAGGATATACAACCATACTGGGGCTTTGGGCAGGAAATTAAAAAAGAGGAAGATTAGCAATAGATATTAGCTTAGGGCAAATCTTTCCCTGCCCCCCCCCCCCAAAAAAAAATCCTCGAATGGGTTGAAGTCACTCAGAATAAATGCCAGAAATCCTTACAATACAAGGCCCTACATGATTTGCCCCCTTTCTCCAGATCTATCTGATGTCTTCATGACTTGCTGCACTCCAAGCACCCTATTCTCCTTGTTGTTCTGTGAATATGTCACGTCCACTCCTACTTTGGGGCCTTTGCACTTGTCTTGGAACCCTCCTTTCTGTATATCCACTTGGCAAAACATCTCACTTCCTTCAAATCTTTCTGAAATGTCACCTTCTCAATGAGTCCCATCTACCCTGACCAGCCTAAATAAAATTGCAAAATGTCCCCCTATTCTGGCATTTTGGTCTCCCTTACCCTGTTCTGTTCTCCTCATAGCAACTAATTACTTTCAAACGTATTATATATTATTTCGTGGGCTTTTTATTGTCTCTATCACTTTTCAACTAGAATTTAAGCCCCACAAGGGCAAGGCTTTTTATTTGTTTTGCTCACTGCATCACGTCTGGCATGCACGTACACTCATAAATATTTGTTGAATGAATGAATATATTGATTCTTTCTCTGCAGTCTGTTGCTACTACCAATTGTCATATTCCAAAGTTGTGTCACTAGCTATAGTGGCAACTTAAATTTAAGTTGATTTAATATAAATACATTAAATACTAATCATATTTCAAGTGCTCAATAGTCATGTGTGTCTAGTAGCTACCATACTGGGCAGTGCTGATACAGAGCATTCTGTCATTTCAGAAACTTTTGTTGGACAATGCTATTCTAAGTTTTATAAGAGCAATTAATCCTACTGCAATCTCTGTAAGCTTTAGTTTGAATTGTACACTGCTGTCAGCTTCATCTTCCTAAATTGCTACTTAGATCATGAGAGCAGAATGTAGTATTAGAACACAGTGAGAGCATTCGAGTCAGACAGATCTTGTTTTAAATCCCAGCCCTAGTATTTGACACTTAATGTAAATTTCTTAGTAAATTTCAGTTTCCTCAAAAGTAAAGTGGGGATAATAACATCTTCTTTGCACAGTTGTTTCTATTACATCATATATACATTCCTGAAAAAAATTTGTGCCCTGCAAAAACATGGACTAAAAATAAAAATATGAGCACAATTAAAAAGTATTGTTAAGTTTTAAGCAATAAAAAATATTAAATGTAGCACTTTTTTTAAAAAAGGAAAGTGTCTATATGGAAGGAGTATATCTATATGGAAAGGAGGATAAGTCTGAAAAGTTATGGTGTCAAGAGAAATATTCACAAACACCAGAAGAACTCATGCAATACGTACCTCTAAGACAGAATTTGTGATCAAATTGAGTCAAGAGGAAGAACAAGGTTGAGTGAGCAACACGTACAGCTCTATATTTCTCTGGCTTGCTGCATCCAGCTGTGTTGGTGTACTTTTCCTCCAACTGCTATCATTTGATAGTTGGAGTGGATGCTATTGGTGCTCTATCCGTGTCCCCTTTACCTCAGCTGGTTTACCCATCCCCAGATACTGTAAATATTGGTTGCAAACAGCTCACAGCTGCCCTCTTCTCTAGAGAATTGGCCTTAGACAAATGGAAATCCCCTCACACAGGAGGTTAAGCACCTCACCTGCTTTCCATTGGCAGTCTTCAGCCAGTGACTGGCTAACAGGGATACAAAAGTCCCGGGCCCTTGCCTCAAAGTTGGAGCAACTGGGCTGCAATTCAAGTTCCAGAGCCTCCAGTGGGATCAGACTGAGACCACATTCTTGCTTAGTGTCTTCTCATGCCCTATTATGCTCTTCTAATTCCTTTCTCCTGAGAGCACTCCTCAATTATTCATGTGTATCCTAATCTTTGTCTCCTGCTCTGTTTCTTGGAAACCTAACCTGAGGTAATACTGCAAAACATTAACATATTGGGGAAAATCACATACGAACCAATACTTTTTCTGTTATTTCTGAAACAAATGTCATAGCAGAACACTTTGTAAAGTTCCTGGCAGAGTTCCTAGCACATAGTAAAAGGTCAATTAACATAGCCATGTTGAGCATGATGAAAATAATGGCAGTGGTAATATCACTTTCTGCTCAGAAATTTTCAGGCTCTTTCCATTACAAACCTGATGTTGTTTAGATACACACAACTTGGATCAAACTTACCTTTACTGCTTATTCCGCGACTGCTGCCCTACATTGAACTGCTGGTTGCTACCACCTTAGAATTCCTTCTACTTTTCTCCCCTCTGTCAAATATCACTTGCTTTCTAGGACTCATTAAGGTAATACTACTTCTAATAGACTTTGTCTAAGTGTGTCAAATCATTGGGCTAGTTCCCTCCTTCAATTTGTCATATTTTTATTCTCAAGCTTCTATCGTATGTCAGCCCTGTCAAAACTATAGGAAAGCAGTTTACATAGGTACTTCAAATGGTGTTGAGTGTTTTCTAATATTGTTTATCTCTTAAGGAATTGACTGTAGATTTTTAGGAACTTTTTGGAAGTTAATCATTTTAAATGTTTATAATTGTCAAGAAGCATTTGAAGCTCTTCTAGGCCACTGAAGAGATTAAAATGTTTTTAGAATAACCTTGAGTCTTTTATCAAAGATAATTAACTGTATATAAAAGTTTTACTCTACCTAGCACAGTGCCTTGGACATAGTAGCTATATAAATATTTGAGTATTTGTCATTCCTTTTTAATTTAAGTGTTTACACTGTATTATTTTCTTAGTATTATGCTTTATTTGTTATTTACACTTAATATATTTAACTTCAACTTTCAACTTCACCAAGATTTTATGTTTTTCAGTAAAGTACAAAATACAAAAGGACATAGTGTGTAGATAACTATAATCTTAATCTTTTCACCTTTAGATTATCGACACAATGGTCGAGATCTTCAAAGCTCAACATTATCAGTGCCAGAACAAGTAATGTCATCAAATCATTGTTCACTATCAGGGTCCCCTCACAGAGTAGATGTCATAGGAAGGACTAGATCATGGTCACCCAGTGTCCCTCCTCCACAAAGGTAAGATAGCACACACATTTTATTTGTAGGTTGGTATTGTAAGCCTATTAATCATAAAGTACTGTTAATAATCTCTAAAAATAATAAATTTGCTGGAAAAAAGTTACTTAAGGAAAAACAAAACTGCTAGGGCTGGCCCAGTGGCCCAGCAGTTAAGTGTGCACGTTCCGCTTTGGCGGCCCAGGGTTCGCTGGCTCGGCTCCTGGGTGCAGACATGGCACTGCTTGGCAAGCCATGCTGTGGTAGGGGTCCTACATATAAAGCAGAAGAAGATGGGCACGAATGTTAGCTCAGGGCCGGTCTTCCTCAGCAAAAAGAGGAGAATTGGCAGCAGATGTTAGCTCACGGCTAATCTTCCAAAAAATAAATAAATAAATAAGTAAAAAAATTTTAAAAAGACACAAAAACCAAAAATGCTGTTAAATAACCTATCTAATGAAAATAATATGAAATATAGGCTACTTTGTAACTTTGGATGACCTATATATGATTTTGTTATGAGTTAAAAATCATAAAGAAGATCCAGCTGTCAATCACATATCAATATTTAGCAGATCTAGTCAGAATCAACTAATTATACTCATGAATATATAGATGTTGATAATTTAAGAAACAGGAAAAATAAACATCTGTTGGGCCTTTAAAATTATGAACAATCATGCGAAGAATAAAAAGGAAAGCATGGGTGATGGGAAGAATGGCTCAGAAAATCTGCCCCTCCAGGTCTTATGCCTAGTGGAAAACTGATCAATCCAGTTAAGTACAGGAAGCCTTAATGGAGTGGAAATAATATGCTTGCTAACAAGAAATATGTGCACAATTCACATTTTATATACTTGCAGTGTTTAAGAAAATCTAAAGTCTTAGAATGATAGTCTTATAACGCCTATTTTAAATGAATAATTGAGTTAGTTTTATATTTAGAATTTTTAATTGTAATCTTAACTGTTTTTTTTGCGGAAGCTTAGCCCTGAGCTAACATCTGTGCCAATCGTCCTCCACTTTATTTGTGGGTTGCTGCCACAGCAGAGGTGCAATTAGTTAAAAGACTTGGACTTGACATTACAGTGATTTTTGTCTTTTTCTACTATCTTCATTAAGAAACTCATTTCTTGGTGTAGTATATGATTATGGTTTATTAAGATGTTTAATGCATCTTGCTATTTCAGTCGGAACGTGGAACAGGGACTTCGAGGGACACGCTCTGCTACTGGACATTATAATACGATTAGCCGAATGGATAGACATCGTGTCATGGATGACCATTATTCTCCAGATAGAGACAGGTACATACGATTAAGTACTATTAGAACTTATTATAATCGCTACCTTCAGGAAGAAGGAGTTACCATAAAATGTTTTTATCCTGAACTTGGATATTTCTTACCTTAGTTTCTAAAACCATATGTTTCCTTTACAATGCCTACATTCATTCTTATGACCACTACTTCATTAAAAAAAAATAAAACAGACAAAGCAATCTTTTCTTTGGTAAGAAAAAATGTAAAATCATCTCGCTCTTGCAATTTTGATCCTTTGTTAAATCGAACAAGTTAAGTTAGTGAATTTACACCCAAGGATATAATGATAATTATAGTGAAAACAAGATGTTTTATTATTCTTACCTTATCATAACCAATAATTGTGTATAAAAATATTTCCATGAGATAATAGATTTAAAGTCTTTTACATTCATCAGGGAAATCAATGTTATTTTTTATATAATATTGAGGCAAGTCTGGTTTGTTTAGGAAACAAACACAAAAACTAATTCGTGAAGAGGTTTTTCCTCATGGCTTTCAGTAAACCTTTTAAGCATCTTAAAGAATCATGCTTTTTGATTGCTGTATTTGGAAGAATTCTCTGAATTTGCTCCATTAAATGTGACATACTTGGAAATAACATGGTATATTTCAATGCATACATTAATTACTACTAATTTTTTTAAGTTAAGCAAATTGATTAACCCTCTCATTTATGATTTGATTACATACAAAATGGAAAATGCTATTATATTTCCCCCAAACTATCAAATGGGTTTGAGGTAAGGATTCTTAAAGAAAACTTAATTTACTCTTCAGAGACTATTATGATAAAGTAAGGGAACTCAGAAATCTCTTTGTATGCATCCTAAACCAATTTTAGTAAAAGCACTTGGAGGCTTTTAAATTAACTGATATGAGAAGTTGCTGTCAATATTTATAAATTTAATTGTTTTGTCTAAATCTAGAGTTATATTCACTTCATGCTTATAATTTCATTGTGTCTGAGGACATTTTTCCAAAAGAAAAGATAGGGAATATCTTAGTCTACAATAGTGTCAAAAAAGTATTGGCTTTTGTGTCTGAGATCTAAGGAGATATAGAAAGTTATTTATTAGTGTTGGATGAAAGTTCATGTAGAGGTTTTTTTTTTCGCTTGAGGAAGATTCACCCTGAACTATTATCTGTGCCAGTCTTTCTCTATTTTGTATGTGGGTTGCTGCCACAGCATGGCTGCCAACGAGTGATGTAGGTCTGTGCCCAGGAACTGAACCTGGGCTGCCAAAGTGGAGTGCGCCAAACTTAACCACTAGGCCATGGGGTGGCCCCAAAAGTTAATGTAGTATTTTGTTTCTTTTTAATTTGTTTGACTTTTTCATAGTGATCTGTGTCTTTAGGGTTAATTGTAGGCATGCTATCTATAAAAATGGATGCTTATAAAGTACAATAACAATGAAAGATAACTATGTTGGTGTGATTAGGAGTTGGAAGGAGTCATATTAGGGTAGGTGAGAGAGTACTTTTGTTACCTAATAGAATTTTGATGAGTTTGAGCACTTCTGGAAATTATTTATATAGCAATTCATAAACTCCTTGTTCATTGAACGTTTTTTAAGGAAGTGGTGAGAAAGAAAAATCTGCAATAACTTTAAATCCTTCGACTTTATGTAGAGTTCTTCTTTTAATGAAAAGTGGACTTGATATTTTTTTATGAGGACAATATGATCTAAATCTTGCAGAGAAGAATAGAATAATATTAATCTGTAGAATTATACTCAAAAACAAGAATATTCTTATCATATCAAACACATTTATCAATATTTGAAGACAAATGGCCCTAGGGTTAATGACAAAAAATTTACTGTTAAATCCTTGGTATTAGCTAATATAGTCATAATTGAAATGTCATTATATTTTTCTTGTTTATTTTAGAACTTTATGAATCTTTTAGTTTAGCAAAAATGTTCAAGTAATTCAGAAGTTTTGGGGAAGATTGGTCTGTATGATTTCATTATCCTTTTAGAGTGTTGTAGATTATCAGATCATATTTACTCAATTGTGAGCTGCTTTAAATCCCTTTTGAAAAAAATAAAATAGAATTTAGATTAATAGGACTATAAAACCCTTTCTAATATATTATTTTTGAGTCATCTGTGTAATCATTATTTATTAACATGAAGAGTCAAAAATCAAAAAGTATAGTTTTATCCTTCTATGTAGTCTATCACATTATTAAACGAGTCCCTAATTTCTGTTTTATCCTAATAGTCTAAAAGAATTTGAGTAATAGAATGTGTGTGAAGGCATTGTAATTTTGAGTACTATTTAGAAGGTAAGAATACTCTAGAACTCTCACAGTGAATTTTTATGAACAACATTTTATAGAGTCAATCAATAATACTGTTGATTAAAAAGCTTGAGAGAGAATTTCCTTTGAGATAGTAAGTAAAATTTAGGTATTTTGGGTGGTGCACACTGGACCAGAATAGTACTTCTTGAATGTACTCTTTTTCATAGAATTTGGAACCAAATGGCATTGGGTTTGAATTTAGAGTTTGCACCACTTGCTGACTGTGTATCTTTGGGAAAATTAACCTCTTTGACACTTGCTTTCTTTATCTACAAAATTAGAATATTAGTACCAACTTTATAGGGTTGTTGTGTAGAGAAAATAGTACTGTTTCTCTAGTTTGCATCGTTATATACTCAAAAATGTGCCTTATTCATAACATTTTAAAAAGATCCTTTGGCTTACAAGTAATTTACATTTTTAATGTGCTTATCAGTTAAGCAGAAAAAGAGAAATCTGTCAATCCAGGTGTTTTTTTTAAAGCCTCGTAGAGAATATAGGATGTGAGTTAGACCTTGAAAAAAGGGCATGTTTGTTCAGGCAAGTGCAAGAGCAAAGATACAGAGGCAGAGCACATATACATCGGAAAGATCCAGCAGGAAGGATGAAGGACTTGAGGACATAATGGAAAGTAGTGCATGAAATAAGAGCTTTTACACTGCCCACAGTGGGGGAGAAATTCTGCTATTTGACATTAATTTACAGTACCTGGTTAAACTTAAGTGGTGTAAGAAGGAGATATAGTATTCATAGCCTTTTCTTATAGGTAATATAAAAAGAATTGTATATCAAGATTTTATTGCATCTTTATTTCTCTGCACATCTCTATTATCATTAGTCAAAATCATCTTCTGTTGTGAAAAGACAATAAGTTCTTCACAAGTAGTTCAGAAACTTGGATGCAAGAATATTAAGCTAAAATGATGACTTTAACGTACATCTTTTATCTTCCTCTCTATCTCTCCTACTTTTCGTATCATTGTTTCTCTGGTAAATCTTGGTAACTGCTACAACTAGGGACGTAATTTTCCTGGGGCAAACCATGTGGCTTTGGTATCAGAAATCATTTCAAGAGTTTATTTGTTTACATGAGTTAATTTACTCTTAGAATAAGTATAGAGTACTAGATAATATTTCTGTAACATGTCAGAGAGATTCTGTAGTACAGTCCAAAGGCCTGAGAACCAGGGGAGCCTCACGGCCAGAGACATATGAGATGTCCAGCTCAAAAGTGAGGCAGAAAAAAGGGGAGGAATTCCTCCTCCTTCGCATTTTTGTTTTATTCAGATCATCACCAGGTTGCATGGTGCCCACTCACATTGAGGAGGGCAATCTACTGAGTCCAGTGATTCAAATGCTAATCTCATCCAGAAACCCCATCACACCCAGAAATAATGTTTAATGTGGGCACCCCTTGGCCAGTTGACACATAAAATTAACTATCACAAAAAGAGAAATAAAACAAACTGATGCTTGATGAAGGTGATTCTTGCTTAATGTTTTCTTTGGCTTTATAGGGACAACATTAATTATAAGGATCTTCAAGGAAAATATTAGAAATTGGATGATATATTTATGTTATATGAATTTGAATATTTTAACAAACTTTGAAGTTTGCACATTTTTGTTACTCAAGTAATTTTCAGAGAAAATCTATTCCTTTTTAATGCAATAAATCCCAACATCACAACTTTTGGGTATTATTTCTACTCATTGTAAAGCTAGGAATGCCCTTTTTAAAATACTGTTTTCCTTATTTTCTTAGACTACATAGGTTTATAATCTTCTATTTACATTTCTAGAGTGTTTCTATGATTATGAGAACCACTGCTCTCTTCGGAAAGTAGGTTCACCATGAAAAGATTGTAATTCTGTTTTTACTTTTTAACTTAACCCAAAATGCATTTATTGAGTGGGTCAGCCATTGTGCACAAAATTTAAAATAGACATTATCCCGGTCTAGATAAACAGATCATCCAACTAATTATAATAGCTAATAATATATACCAACTAATTATACAGTATACCAACCAGTTATAAAATGTAGGAGACTGTGAGGCAGAAGTGTAATTTTATTGGAACAGATTGGAGAGAGAATTACTTGTGTAGATCTTTGGGAAAAAACTTCCAAGGGAAGTTGAATTGTAAAGATTGAGTAGAACTTTGAAAGACAATAAAGTGAAGTCAGAAGGGGGTGATGGGCATGCTTGGCAGAGTGATGAGCATGAACAAAGTCTTGGAGTCAGGAAAGTATGGGACATATTTAGAGAATCTTAGGTAGTCTGGAATACCCACACAAAAAGTTATGGTGTGGGAGATGGGAAATGATAATAGATGAAGATAGAAAGTAGTTTAGAACTTAATTTGCATGACATTTTAAGGAACATGTGCTTTTTTTTTTTTGATATAGGAAGCCATTGAAGGATTTTGAGCAAGGTACCTACATGATCAGAAGCATAATTTGCAAATATACTTCTGTAGACAGGGTGGAGAATGGATTGGATCAAGAGAGAGTTGGGATCTGAAGGAAGGGAAACTTAATAGAAGGTTATTTCAGTAGACATTGTAAGCCTGATTTAAGATAGTGGCAGGAGAAAAGGAAAAGAAGGGATAAATCTGAGTTGTTTAGGCATAGAACCAGCAGGGTTTATACATCAACTGAATGTGGAAAATA